TTCCACCCAGCGCATCCTCCGCCTCACCGGCTTGCCGCCCAATAAAAACTCCCTCCAGCCCTTCGTCTTCTGCACGTCTTCCTCGTCCACCCCGCACCCCGGGATGCCAGATGACGTGGAGGACAGCAATGGCAACAAGGATGATGATGATTCCGATGACCTGGACTCTCTCTATTGAGCTGTACCCTGTTCTCCAGCACAGGGGGAGTGGCCTAGGGGCTAGGCTATTTTCCTGGGGAGCACAGGGTGGTGGGCTTGAGTCCTGTCCCCCAGCCAGCCAGCCCAGGATAAGGGTCCCTTGGGAGGTGAGGTGAGCTCTGGAGTGGCCATGGGATAGGACATCAGTGTTTGCAGCACAGGGTAGTGGTCTAGAGTCCCCGGCCCCCACCCAGGCAGCAGCTGGACAGCTAACACAGGCTGCCCCAGGGATCAAGCTGCCTCCCATATCTAGAACTCCCTCCAGCCCTTCGTCTTCTGCACGTCTTCCTCGTCCACCCCGCACCCCGGGATGCCAGATGACGTGGAGGACAGCAATGGCAACAAGGATGATGATGATTCCGATGACGATTCCGATGACCTGTACACGGTCTATTGAGCGTGCCCTGTTCTCCGTCGCTCCGAACGCAGGGACCATGATTCCAACTGTGCTGCCGGGTGTTTCGATCGTCTAGGCAGCACCAAGCCCAGACTCTACTTCCCCTCTCGCCCACCCAGGGTTTTCTTTCTGGTGTCTCCCCTCGCTTGCCCCAGTCCCACTGATTGGCATTGCTAATAAAGACGCAAGTTACATAATGTTGTGAGAGCCGCCTCCGGGCCCAGCCCTGCTTCCCTGGACGTCAGAGACCCAGCTCGCAGGGGAGCAGGAACCGGCCGGTGTGCGTACTCGGGCCAGACGTTAGCCCCTGCTCACTGGAGATGAAGGCCAGGAGGTCCCGTTAAGAAATGCGCGTCTGGCCTCCTCCAGCCACCGGGCAGAGAATCTCAGCCGTGGACTCAGCATTGCGGTGAGGACGTCTGGCTGAGCTAGAGCAGATCTTTTAGAAACTCACCGAGTTTGAGTTGAAGCCTGCCTGGATGTCCCTGGTAAGTGATTCCAGTGGCTAACTGCCTTCACCGTGACGTGTTTGCACCTTGTCACCGGACTCAATTCGTCCAGCTTCAAAGTCCTGGCCCGGGCTCCTGTCCTGCTTTGGCTAGATGGAGGAGGCTTTTCCCAGCAGAAACCATCTTCCGTAGGGAGCTATAGGGCCATAACCAAGTCACCCCTTTATCCCCTCTTGGAATACAAAGCAGACTGAGCATCAGAGGCTAAGATCGTGCTCACAACTACTGACTCGACTGAGTCCTTGCTGAGCCCTTCCCCGTTTTCCCACCTCCTTTTGGGTGTGGACACAGAGTTGACCAAGGTCTCTGGCCTTGGACTCTCCGACACTGATGCAACGGTCACGTCAGCGCCCCGCTCCGGGAAGCCAGCCAGCCACAGTTCTGACCTCCCCAGCCCACGACTTCGCCAACACGTAGCTAGCCCAGTTGAGTCTCCACATGCAGAAGTGCCCTGTGTCCTCTGCTGGTCTCGCTGAGCACACCCCTCTGGAGCCAGGCCACTGTCTGTCTCACTGCGGGTGGCATCAGTTGTATCTTCCGTGCTTGGACCATTCCCTGTGCTCACCCAGCCAGTCCACTTGACCCAGCCCTGCAGTTTGTCCCTTTGTGCAAAAACAAACCGTGTGAATGTTTTCTTTTTGCGCAAAAACCCCTTTTCCCACCAGAGCCTTACGCCCAAAAAAGGAAGTCTGTCTTATTTTTACCAATCTGGCAGGAAAATGTCTACACTGCTTGGTTTTGCGCAAAAACCCCAAGGCAAAAATGGATTGGCAGAAAATATGCAAATGAGATAGTGACTCATGCAAATGAGTCCCTCATTAGCATACTTTTTGCTGCGAAAACTCATAGTGTAGACATAGCCAGGGACTGTACCTCAGCACCGGGGCCCCGGTCTTGGCAGGGACAGGAAGTCTGTGATGGGCACATGTGATCCAGTCTGGACGGTGATTGGCTGGAATCCTTCCCTGCCAGCTGATTTCCAGTAGTTCCCCTGATGGCACCTCAGAGATCCTGGCCCATTCCCTAACCCCACCATAGGTTCCCCCCCAGTGCACTGTGAGCTCTTGGCTGGATCTTGGCCCTACCATGGGGCACCTGGTGCCACACCAGGAGAACTTGACTGGGCCCCGGATAGCAGCTCAAGCTCTGATGCCCCCTTGCTGCCCTTGTTTACTTGCTGTGTCTGGGGCAAGGCCTGGGTGCAGCTGGATGGTTAATTAATGACCCACGCAGGTAGTTCTGGCAGAGGCTAGTCTGTGAGCTCTTGGCTGGATCTTGGCCCTACCATGGGGCACCTGGTGCCACACCAGGAGAACTTGACTGGGCCCCGGATAGCAGCTCAAGCTCTGATGCCCCCTTGCTGCCCTTGTTTACTTGCTGTGTCTGGGGCAAGGCCTGGGTGCAGCTGGATGGTTAATTAATGACCCACGCAGGTAGTTCTGGCAGAGGCTAGTCTAGTTACTGGGCGGGGTCTGTTTGCTCTGAGTTTCCTTGGCAGCAGCCCGCCGTGTCACCAGATCAGTGTGCCGGGCTCGGCACTAGCCCAGCGGTGGGACAAGGTATCACTTTGCTTTTCCTGTTCCAATCGCACTGGGGCACCACACACGTCAAGCCTCGTTAACTGCAGACCAACACGCAGCGTGCACCCGCAAGAGCAGCCAGCGGAGTCAGCCCACGGTCCCTCTTGCCCTGAATCCTGGCTCCAACTGCTGGGATTTTTCCAGTGTATCCTTGGGGGCCAGTCTATGCCAGCAAGGTTCAGGAATTGAGGGGTAGGGAAAAGTACCTTTATTAGCCCAAAGGCTGCCCAGCCACAATCACACATTACAAATGCTGATTGTCTGTGCAGCTAGTTACTCCCTCCAATACTAAAAGCAATGGCAGATTGTTTACACCGAGCTGGACGGAGGGCCACCATTGTCCAGGTGTTTCACGGCTGTGGCTACCAACGCACCTTCCCAGCCTCCCTCCTCCTTCACACGCTTCACTGTACTTTGTCTGTGTCTGCCTGTGGCAGAGAGCAACAGCCGCTGTTTTCACCGTCTCCGTGGCTTCCTGTCACATGGTTAGTGCAAACTCAAAACATACTCCCCCAAATGGGCTAAACCTGCTGTCAGCTGCTCATAGTTGTGGTATTGGCTCTTTGGCGTATGTTATGCACCGATTAGATACAGTTACCCAGCACGTAGCTACAGCAAACCACCCTTTTGTTTTTACACGCCGGCGTGGGCCCAGGCTATTAGTGAGACGAGGTGTATGGGGGGAACAATTGGCTCAACTTCGGCTGGCAAGCAAGGCAAGCTTTCAAGCTCCACAGAGATCTCCTTCAAGCCAGGTGAAGCAACAGCTGTTCTGTGTAAAACTCAAAAGCTTGTATCTCTCACCAATGGAAGTTGGTCCAATACAAGCCATGACCTCACCCACCTGGTCTGTCTTATTTTTACGTCAAGCCCCTTTTAAAAGCAGTACTTTAAGCTCTCTGCCTTCCTTCACTGACCATGGCCCATGCTGGAGTGTCAGGGGACTGTACAGAACAGGGCACTTACGAAGTGATCCATCTTCCCTTTTCCACTTCCAGGTTCTTGGGGGTTGGTGATTTGGGGTGCCCCTGAGCAGGGGGTTGTGTCCCGGACCATCTTGGATATTAGTAATTGCTGGTCCGACCTGCCATGAGCGCATCCTGTTCTTTTATTAACTCACTTGTACTTTTGGCCTTCACAACATCCTGTGGCCAGGCGTTCCACAAGTTAGTTGTACGCTGTGTTTAAAAAAAACTTCCTGCAGTCTACACATGTCGACAGGTGACCCCTGATTTTTGTACACTGTGAAAGGGTAAATAATATTGTTCTGGTCACTTTTCTCACACCAGTCATGAGATTATAAACCTCTACCATATCCCTCCCCCCGCCCTGGTTGTTTCTTTTTTAAGACGACCTGCCCTATGCGTTTTAGTCTCTCCTCACAGGGAAGCCGTTCCAGAGCTGGGATCTCTCTGAATATTTTCCTTTTCCACCTTGTCTCTTCTGAGGTGAGGTGCCCAGGGCTGGAGATTGCGTTCGAAATGTGGGTGCACCATTGATTAGATCTTTAGCCTCCCACAGGTAGTTTCCCTGTGGCGGCCATGCAGTTGCTCTGCAGTGTGGGCAGGTTCCAGCTTTCCCTGGTCCGTCTCTGCTAAGTCACAGCTAGACACACAGTCGCTGTCCTGCTGGATCCAGTGAGCTTTATGTGCCCAGGCTCTTCAGTGACTCTAGCGAGAGCGGTGTAAGGGCAGCATGGGTCAGTGTGCTCAGCATCCAGCCACGCTGGGATCCAACCAGTGCCCCACATTGGGTGATGAGTCCTGGGCATGGGCCCTTGGGGCAGGTTGTGCATCCACTAAGCAGCAGCAGCTCGTATCATGCGGGGTGCTGGGTGAGGAAGTGGGTGTGCTACACCAAAGGAAGTACGCCACTGCCAAACATTTTGGCCAGCTCTCTGCTGCATTTCCCAGCCCAGGCACTTGGTAGACCCACCCTTCCCTGACTGGCCGCCATTTGCATTGGAGACCTGCCTTCACGCTGCCCCACGGCTCCGCTCCAGGGTTTGACACAGTCCGAATCCACCGTTTGAACGTGAGCTGTGGGCTGGGGGGAGTGTGTGGGCTGGGGGGGCACGCGCAGAGCTCAGGAAATGGGGGGTGGGAGAGGAACATGCTGGAGGGGCTGTGACGACGTGTCGGGGGTTCCTCCTGGTCCTGCAGCCCCGTAGCAGCAAGAATAGACTCCACCAGCCAGTCGAATGGAGGGTTTCTTGCTTCTCCAGGATACAGCCCAGCACAGATGTGATGTGGCTACGGGAGTCTGGGTCAGGATGCCTCAGGCCCCTTGAGATGGGGTACCTGGGCCCCTAGGCTCCCTGCCCCCCTCCTTGGTCTGTCTCCTTCATGGTTTTCAGCCCAAAAACTACCCTTCCCCCAAGGGTCACTTCCTTTGTTCCGTCCCTTCCCTTAACCCAATGGTCCCCAACACGGAGCCCGTGGGGCCATTTGTGTGCACCCGCCAAGTGCTCGGGGCTGGCCTGGCCCCGGGCACGTGGTGCATGAGCTGTGCCAGAGCCGGCCCCGGGCGCAAACAGATGTGATGTGGCTACGGGAGTCTGGGTCAGGATGCCTCAGGCCCCTTGAGATGGGGTACCTGGGCCCCTAGGCTCCCTACCCTCCTTGGTCTGTCCCCTTCATGATTTCTGCCCAAGACTGACCCCTTCCCCTGAACACTCACTTCCCTAGTTCCCTCGCTGCTCCAACTCATCTGACCGTTGAGTCTTTGTCTACCTGACTTAGGCAGCCCACCTGCTGGGCAGTGTTCATAGGCAAAGGCCAAAAGGGGTCATCCACAACCCACAACCCAAGCAGAGCAACCGGCAAGGTACCCTGAACACGTGGCTATGGAGGGGCCCCGCCCACGAGCACGCGGCTATGGGGAGGGCCGCCCCCGGGCGTGCATGTGTCCCCGTCCTCTGGCGCCAGGCAGGCAAACGGCCACGCCCCCGGCGCCCGGCAGCCTCTAAATGTTGGGGACCACTGCCTTAACCAGTAGGCCCGGTTCGGTCGCTGTCACGGGGGGGGGCCTTCAAGGTGCCCCCACTGGGCAGTGCTTATAGACAGAGGCCTGTAGGGCTCATCCACAGCCACTGCCCAAGCATAGCAACCCGCAAGCTACTGCCGTTACATCACAGGGGCACAGAGGGAGCATAGGAAGGTTTCAGGGCTGGCCTTAGGGAAAACAGCGCCCTGGGCACCCCTTGAGTTTAAGTAGGTGGTAAATGTGAATGACAATTTCAGAAATAATCTCAGACGTGTTCATACATTTACTAAAAAGATGGATGGTATTTGCTTCAACGTCATTCCACTAATGACGTGTCAAACACTAACCAATGAGCCAGCACAAATACAAAACGTGGCTCCCCAAGATGCTGCGCTCCAGAGGCAGTGCTGGGAGGCTTGGCTGCTGCAGGCTGCGCCATTGCTTGTCACAGGCAGGCGTGAGCCGCAGCGTTCGCCACAGAGGGGGCGGAATTGACGTCTCAGGAGATTAGGGACACGGTGCGGCCGGAGGGGAATGGGAAGGAAGCTGCTCATTTCCTTTGCTCCCCTGGGTCCGGGCCTGCAATTGTCTCTGCCCCTTGAGAAGAGAATTGGCATGATCAGTGCATCTGGGCCAAGCCCTTCCCTTGAGCTACACGGGGGGAGGAGATGAAATATTCACCCTAAGACATGAGGCAGCTAATGTGAAGGCCCGTTCGCAGGGTGTGTGTGTGTGTGTGTGTGTGTGTGTGTGAACGCACACGCCCCCTCTGCCCATGGTCCTTCATGATTCCAGCTGGCCTGGGAAAGGCAGGGGCAGCACATTGCCCCACCCTCCCTTCCCTGCGCTCCGGCCAGCCTGGGGAAGGCTGGTGCTGATCCCCCCCCACTTTCTCCCCCAGAAGCAAGGCTGAGGTGGGGCTGGGTCACAGGGGTGCGGCAGCCACCAGCCCCTCCCACAGCTCGCACTCCCCCCAACAGAAACTCCTGCCTATGGGCCTGCTGTGTGTGACTGGCACTAGCGTGTGAAATGAAACAGCAGGTGAAAAACCTGCGTGTGTCCCTCGCCCTTCGGTGGGCTCTTCCGCCACCGTCTGAGCTGCTCTGCACCAGCCCTGGCAGCTCCCTGGCTGCAGCTGCCCTTGGCTGCTCCAAATCCCAACCAGCGTGTGCATATGTGCACACACACACATGCGTGCACACACACGGGACGGCCCTAGACTAGCTGCCAGCAGCTGGCACCCTAGGCGAACCAGGCAATTGGTGCCCCCCCCAAACCCTGCAAAGATATTGCGCCACCATTTGGCGCCCCATTTAACGTGGTGCCCTAGGCAACTGCCTAGTTCACCTATATGGACGGGCCGCCCCTGCACCCCCTCGAGGATGTCTGAGAAGGAACGAACCCAGCTTGACTCTCAGGCTGTGTCTAGACTACATGGCTCCCTCGCCGGAGCCATGTAGATGAGTTTACTCGGCAAAGGGAAATGAAGCGCTGATTTAAATAATTGCCACTTCATTTACCTCAAAATGGCTGCCGTGCTGTGCCGATCAGGTGTTTGGTGACGCAGCGTGGTACTCTGGAAGCTCCGCGGTCCTCCAGTGAGCTGGCTGGTGCCAGGTAAGCTCAGGGGAGACTATTCATATGCCCCCCTCTCTCCCCCCAGCACATCGCCTTGGGCAGCCGCCCTCATTGCCCAGGCCTCAGGCCACCAGTGGAGGGTGGGAGCCACACACCCTCCTGCAGCAACGGCGCAGCGCCGCACCATGTGCCTCCCCAGGGGGCGGGGGCTGGGGGGCG